CTGGTGGATTTGAACTGCTTGCCTTTAGTTTGGCAACATAATTCCTTATCCATTAGGCCACCAGCTTGCTTCATATGGTACACAGGTGAAATCATTGGTACTTATAACTAAGAATCTAGACTTTCTTAATTTCATTTTTAAAAAAGCACAGAATGCTTTCAATTATGTAGCTAAAATGCTTCAATTATGTGACTAAAATGCAAGAACAAATCTTTTCTTTAAAATATACTTTCCTTGGTATGAGCTGTAAACCATTTTCAAATGAAAGCTGTTTCTAAGCAAATGGATCCGTGAGGCTTCATCCCCCAAGGTTCTGCTGTCTGACCTTTCTGTAGAGCTTCCTTACAACTTTATCCTGACATAGTACTTTGGGGACAAGCTAGATATGAGATCATAGATTATCTCTACAAATCAACTTCTGTGGATGCTCCATTGTTCTCTATGTTAAATATTGATTTGGAAAGGGCTCTGAAAGGAAATATTTCCCTATACGTATTTTAATTTCCTTAGATCATAAATATATTTTATTGATTCCCACCATGGCATATACCAGTAATAATAATAATTTCTTACTTTCCAAATCTTACTTCCTAGAGCAAAGTCTTGTATTATTTATGAGGAAATTAAAATGAAATACTAGTCAAGGTACATTTTATGATTTTTTTCTGTTGCACGAAGAATCATGTTTTCTCTAATTAAATACATATTTCCAGTAACAATTATTAGACTATACAGAAAAAATCGACAATTGATGATAGAATAAAGGGTCTTCAGAATAGCCTTACTAACCACATAAGTGATTAAATGCACAAAGGACAAGAAAGGGGGGGGCAGAGAAGAATATTTCATCAGCATTGAAGGTATGTCTCCCAGATATTCATATTTCTGACAAATTACCTGTTCTGGGCAAAAGTGCGTTGCGGCCCTTGAATTGACTAAGGCTGATAGCAACTCTATGAACAATAGACCTTGACCTTGACTTATCCTGGGCCATCCTAGAGGTCTCTGCCATGCTCAAGTCTACTCTTACAATTACTGTGTCAATCCAGCTCCTTGAGAATCATCCTCTCTTCTGCTGTCTCTCTTTCGTCAGCATGGTGTCTTTTTCCAAGGACTTGTCACCCTTGATAACATACTCAGAGGATGTAAAATGAAGTTTTCTACTTTTTGATCTAAGGAGCACCTTGGTTCTACTTCCCAAAGACAGATTTGTTTGTTCTTTTGGCAGTTTGTGGAATATCCATACCCTTTACCAACATAACAATTCAAAGGGATCTGTTCTTTGATCTTCCTTATTCACTGTCCAACTTTTAGATGCAGAGGAAACAATTGAAAAAATCTTGGCTTGGATCAGAAACACCTTAGTCTTTGAACAGATATCATTACTCTTTAGCATTTTGGATAGGTTCTTGACAGCAGACTTCCTTAGTGCAACAGGTGTTCTGATTTCTTGATTACTGCTATCATGGGTGTTGATTGTGGATCCAAGTAAATCATTGACAACATCAATTTTTTCCCCTCTATCATCTTGATGTTGCCTATTGGTGAGGATATCTGTTCTCTTGATGTTGAGATGTAATTCATATTGAAGGTTGTATTCTTTGATCTTCTTAAACAAGTGCTACAAGTTCTCTTTCTTTCTGCAAGTAAGACTGTGTCATCTGTGTATTCCAACCTTGATGTCACATTCCTCTTCATATAATCTCATTTCTTGAAAGACTTTTTTTTCAGCATTCAGACTGAATAAGTAGGAGTTGGAACATGGGAAGGAGGAATTATTAATAATCTAAATCAGTAGTTCTCTTCCCACGTTGGTTTTGCCCTTCAAAAATGTTTAGCAATGTTGCAGTTGTTAAGTACCATTTAATTCAGTGTGTTAACTCATGTGCTCCTATGAACAATCGTTCAGAACACTGTCCTATTCCATGCCATCTTCACAATCTCTGACACACTCAAGCCCATTTTTGCAGTCACTATGTCAACCCAACCGGTTGCCATCTTCACAATCTCTGGCACACTCAAGCCCATTTTTGCAGTCACCATTCAACCCAACCGGTTGAGAGTCTTCCTCTCTTTCACTGCTCCGCCACCTTCTCAAGCATGATGTCCTTCTCCAAGGAATAACCTTCTCCTAGCAACATGTCCAAAGTATGTGAGATGAAGCTTCATCATTTTTGCTTCCAACAAGCACTCCAGCTGCACCTTTTCCAAGCCATATGTTTGTTCTTTCAGCAGTCTATGGGATCTTCAACACTCTTCTCAACACCGCAGTTCAAAGGCACTAATTCTTCTTCTGTCATCCTTAGTCCTTGTCCAGCTCCCAGCAGCATAGCATCTATTTAGCAATGTAGGGAGACATTATTTTATTGTTACAACTTTTTGGGAGAGTGCTACTGGCACCTATTGGATAGAAGTCAGGGTTACCACGGACTACTCTGTAGTGCACAGAGTAGCCTTCCATGCAAAACTAATATAGCCCCAAGTGCAACAGTTTCATGTGTAAAGACCTGAGTATAAATTTGGTTGTTATCAGTAACGTGACTTAGCCCTTTCAGGTGCAGCCAAGGTGAGCTCTAGAGAGACTATGCTTGAAAAAGTCGAGGGTCTAAATCTAGAAATCCTCGAATACTCTAGACATTATGGGAGACTAGAAACTTGACCTCCTGTTCCTTCTTTGTATTGTAAAATACATTGTGTTATCAGTTTCCTGTGAAACCTAAAGAACCCAATGAAATGAAACATTTAAAGGAAATAAAGGGTAAGTCTCTGGATTGCAATTTTAACTGGAACTGCTTATAAGAAAAATCCTTCCTCTGCTATTGACTTCTCTAATTCAGAGACCACTTACGCCTAGCTCAAGGTCTAAAGTGATCCAATTACTTATACTGCAAATTTATGCTTGCTTATTCAACAGTTTCCGAAAGAAAGACTCAATAATCATTCTTACTAGATGCTTTCTATGTCATAAAATATAGTGCCATCGTGGGACCACATATAAACTTTAAATGAAGACCTTCTGGGGAGGGAATTGGTAAAGCAATTTGTTCCATAAACTTTTACTCAAAATGCAATCAAAATTGTGTTGTTTTTTTTTTTAACTGACCTTCTGAAAAGTAGTATTAGAAATCATTGTAATACTCTTCTGCACATTTTCTAATAATTGTCTTCTTGTTATAGCAACACATTTCTAGAATTAACTATTTTAAGGTAATTAGATGGCAATTAACTTCTTTCTGATCAATATAGTGTCTGAAACTGTTCCACAGGGGAACATAATGTTGATGACTTTTCTGTTTAAAGGAGGTCAAAGGAGTTTGGGTTTGCTGCACAGTTTATATCCTCTCCTGTGAAGGGCCACCATCTAAATAGCATAGTAAATAATCAAAGAATTCTCACAATATGGAAACCTACTGAATGGTATTACTTGTTTCATTGACCAGTTTGACAGTAGAACCCTGCTCTTTTTTTATTTTTTATTAATATCTTTCAGAAAAATGTTTGTGTTTTCTGGCAACTAATCTTTAACTTATTGTGAAGTTCCTTTGACTTAGTGGTAGTTTATCACAAGTAAGAGGTATTTTTACTGAAAAAGAAATATTATGCCTGTAAGTCCCATCATAAAATCATATTAAACTCTTAGGACTAGACAGCATAGTGGAGGGAGAAATGGGAAAAATTACTCGGTCTGGACATTCAACTTCCAAAGAAAACATGTCTTGATGACACTACTGCACTACTGCACACTGGATTTAGTTAAGAATAATGACAATCTTTGCTCATGAATTACCACAAACATCCAATGTGAATAGAGAAAATGGTGTGAGGAGGGTGAAGATTTTCTGTGCTTTCTATGCATTTTTTCTGTAAATGCATTATTTCTAAAACCAAATACTATATTTTAAAAAGAAAACAACAAGCCAGTGACAACTAACATGGTGTCCACATTACCCACTGAGGTCCTTTGACTGTCTCTAACTTCCTAGCTTTTTCTATTTCAAAGACCTCAAAACTCACCACCATCAAGCGAATTCCAGCTCACTTAATTCTGTAGGTCAATGCAAAACTGAGGCACTGTTTCCAAGGCTGTAAATCTTTATAGGACGTTCTGGTGGCCTAGTGAATAAGGAGATGTACTGCCATCTCAAAGGTAGGCTATCCGAATCCGCCATATGCTCAGAGGGAGAAACATGGACAATCTCTTCTCGGGAGATTTCTACACAGCCTCTGAAAACCCACCGGAAGGGCAGTTATGAGTCAGTGCTTACATATTCAATTTCTTTTTGAAAAATCTTTTGCAGGAGAAGACTGACTCATCAAAGACTCAGGCAGCATATAAATCCGCACAACGTGACACACTTGCAATTATCCTTATGAACAGGTAAGAAGATGGAGAGAGCTAATTATGACTTTCTTGAAATCCACTGTATTGAAAGTACGTTGTGTGAAGAAGTTATAGAATGTTATCTATAGAATTTCTAAGAAAGGCACTGAGAGAAAAGCGCATGAGACTCTGAAATCAACAGAGCAACAGATGGGCAGGCGCTGCTAAGAAGGCCCAGTACACTCTTTAGGACTGATTGAGGGGCGAGCAGTGAATGAGCAAGGTACCTTTCCCATGCGGGTGTAACTGAGTTCACTGAGTATTCCTCCCATAAAAGAAATCAGACATTTCTCTCTCACTCTTTACAATGAACTCCACTGAATCTCTTTTAAAAGATCAGAACTGGATGCAGGGACATAGCCAAAAGAAACAGCACACTTTAACTGAGAAATTCCACAATGAACTGTGAGTACTCAGATATTTCTCTAAATATTCATCCCTATAAAAGCACCAAACAATATACTCGCATCACGCACAAGAAAACCCGGTCACAGGGGGGGTCTTTTTGATACCTGACCGGGACACTATTTTGTTATGAGACAAAATGCATTTGCATTTTCCATTCGATTGAATAGACCAGTCCCCACTGAACACGAGTGACATTGTAAAAGTCCGTTACCTGCACAAAACCACAGGCTGCAAAGTCCTCGAACAAGGGCAGGCTTGGGCGGCCTTCTCGGTAGATGGTGAGTCTGTATATGATCAGAACGGCACCCTGAGCTGATGATTCATCCACCGCGAACATGGAGATTGTGTTCATCCCTAATCCCAGGGGGTAGCTGGCAAAGCTGGAGAGAGAGGAGGGGAGCGGTAGATGAGAATGAGGAGGAAGAGAAGCAGGCATGGGATGAAACACGAATGTTAGCCTTGAGCTTTAAATGATAGTGACATGAATGTTAGTTAGCCTTGTTCCTTAAATGATAGAGACACATAACTTTGTAAATTATTACCTAACAGGAGGAACTGGAGAGCATTATGCTGAGTAAACGAACTCAGTCCCACAAGGATAAATATTGCATAAGACCGTTTTTGAAGAATGAGTAGAAGGATCCAGGAGGGGTGGGAGAGGCTGAAAGCAGAGGGATGTGGGTGTACAGGGGGAAGAGGGGATTAATCATTGGGTTGTACAATTTGATGGTTGGGTAGGGGAGAGGGAAATTGAAAGAATTTGTTTAAATTTGTATCAGAATTTTGTAAATAAACTAGTAAAAAAAGAGAAAATTTGAAATGATAGAGACATGAATGTTAGCCTTGCTCTTTAAGTGATAGAGACACGGATATTAGCCTTGTTCCTTAAATGACAGAGATGCAAATGTTAGCCTTGCTCCTTATATGATAGAGACATGAATGTTAGCCTTGCTCTTTAAATGATATGCCACAAGGTTCTATCTTCTGTGCAAAATGATGGATGGAAGACTTCATGACTCCCAAAAGAGTCAATAACAACCAATACCTCCAGGGAGACTAGGAAAGTCAGTGCTTCTCTACTCACAGATTTTGCCAACATGAGTAAGAAGAGTCAACACTGAATATTTGAAACCTTGAGGACACAGGTAAGGGGAATGTTATATTCTGAAGAATTAAGTCTTCAAGAATCTGAAAGCAATGATGAAATTTTTACTTAAAGCACTCTCTTCTTGACAGAGAACTGTTTTGTTTCATTGTTGATGTTTTGTTCAAATACTTTATATAACAGAACCTGTCATTGTCAAGTTATCACAAAAAAATACTTCTAGAATACTGTGAAATACAATGTATATGAACTCTGTAAGCAAGCCAATATAAAATAAAAATTTATTTGGTTTTGTTTTTGTTTTTTTAAATTAGTTACAGAGATTGCTGATGGGTTGCTGTGCCCTTTTAAACCACAGGAGACTTGAAAAGGGAGGTTTTTCCCCACCCTGGCAATCTCTTGAATGGCTCTCCTGTCTCGGCTTTTCTGAACCATTTTCAAAGGCTGTTCCAAATGTCTTCTCCCACTGTGATGGCTCGGTTCTGTCTTATTGGAACCCTTACCTTGGTCCTGCCCGCTCATACAGGTGTGCCTTGCACTGACACCTGGAAGTCTCGGCTCTGATCGTCACAGTAACCACATCAAATGGCACTTCACAGTAATAATCTTTGATCTTTGGGTTAAATTCAGGATTTAGCTCCAAAGGTGGATTTGTGAAGATCTTCTTGATAAGACATACTGTGTTTTGATCTGTTAAAAAAATTACAAAGAAAATACAATTGGGAAATGGATAAACATTTAAAGATCATATATCATTAATTTGGGAACTCTGGAGGGATAGCACACAGGGAGGTGATTGCTATCCCAGAGGTGATGCCTCTCCGAAGGTCTGGGTCCATCAGAGGCTCCAAGGAAGAAAGATGGACAATCTCCTCTCATGCAATGGATAGTCTCTGAAATCCCACTGAGGGTCTGCTAGGAGTCAGTTCCAACTCAAGGGACAATGAGTCTTAGTGCAATTAGTCTTAGGCTTTACTCCCCCACCCCCCTTTCTTTGACCAACTTCAGGGAACTTAGCCACAGTTAGGTTATTACTTAAGCTGAACTTCCTACCAGTCAAATTATTTAGGATTTGCCTCACTGACTTTAGTTGGTGTCATACAGATGATACTTTTTGTTTAATTCTAGACGTTTTAAAGGTGCTGAAGATATATTTTATGCTTTATAGTGTATAGAGTAAAAAATTGTGAAAATAGAAATGCTGTGGGAGTGATGGATGGGAGAACAGCAGGAAATGAGGAAAATGTGCTAAATAGGGAATGTGATTAAGTTGTAATTGGATTAGTATAGCAGGTTATGTGCAGTGATAAATATTAACTCTATCTATTAAAGCAAGAAGATTGTTTCATAATCCATATTCCACAAAAGTAGCGCTGTGAGGGGGAAAAAAAGACAATAATGCAGATTACTTCAAAGGTTTGCTAAAGAAAGACTAAATACTTTGCACCAAAAATTCTTTTCAATAGTCAACAGAGGTCCAATAAACAAAAGTGTGAAAAAGAGGTCAGTACCCTTTCATTTTCTTTTAAAAAAATATCACAATGTTTAACATAGAGCAGTAAAAAATAGAATACAGAATTGGCTGCCAGAAGTTATACAATGAAATTCAAAGAATATTGTGCTATTGACTGTTGTTATTGCCTCTTCTTTTTACAAAGTTGTCACAAAGTGCTAGACCAAATCTGATAATTGGCTTGCAATTCTTGAATAGTTTCTCCTTGAGGACAGAGTAAAATCCCAACTGTAGTGTGAAGACAAAGACTTTTCCATCTCTTCTTAGTCTTCTTCTCTAGTCTTATCTCACATTATGTCCTGAACTTTGTATTTCAACAAGACTAAGTTTTTGGTATTTCTTTAATGGACATTTAGTACATCTGAGGGTCTAATGATGGAGTCAGTAAGATTGGCTCAGGATTGGGCAGGTTTCAGAGCTATTGTGCAAAGGGTTGCTATGAGTCATAGGAGACATGATGGCATGTATTAGTAACAATAGCAACTTTAATGGACATATTCCTGAGGCACCAGATTCACGGCAGTGGATAATGACAATGGCATGGAAATTTTACTTGAGTTTTCATGACTGGATTTAAGTATAACTCACACCATTCTCTGTAAACATTATTAAAGCATGAATTTCTGAACCACTTCTATGGTTTGGTTGTAGTTTGTTGTTCTGTTTTTGTTTGTTTGTTTAACCTATGGGACAACTAAATGTACTGGGAAAATCCGCAGCCATTATTAGCCTCTTAAACTGCTAAAGAGCAAAGATGTCAGTTTACAGACTAAGGTGTGCCTGATTCAAGCTATGGTATTTTCAGTCACTTCACGTGTGTGTAAAAGTTGGACAGTGAATAAGGAAAACCAAAGAGGAATTGATACCTTTGAATGGTGGTGCTGGCAAAGAATATTGAATATGCCATGGACTACCAGAAAGGAAAAAAACCCCAAACCTAAACAAAACAACACAACACAGATCTATCTTTGAAAATGCACAGTCAGTATGCACCTTAGCTGGATGGTGAGACTCTCTCTCATATATTTTGTCCACGTTAGCAGAAAGGGCCAATCCCTGGACAAGGACATCATGCATAGAAAAGTAGAAGGCTAGCGAAAGAGAGGAAGACTTTCAGCAAGATGCTAAGATGTATTGTCACAATGCCTGCCAACAATGGGCTTAATGGCACTGCAGAGATTGTGGGGGTGGCACATAAGTAGGCAGCACTGTGTTGTCTTGTACATAATGTCTTTACATGTCAAAGCTGCCTAGAAGTCATCAACAACAATATCATAGAAGAAAAAATTCTTCAGGTGTAACTTAGGACTAACAACATAATTTATAATATCACAGTTTCCCTTTAAGGAAAGGTCTTAATAAAAAGGAAAAAAAGTTAGTGAATATATTTGAAAAACTCAGTGAACTAGGCGAACTACCTACTTGACTGATTTTACAGTTTTACTGAACCTAGCACCTATGGAGATTTTATTCAATTCCAGCTAGCCAATAATAATGCATTCACTTTTTATCAATTGAAGCTTTACCCTCAGCATATTCTATGTTCAAGACACTAAGATAAGCAAAGTAAAAACAAAAACAAACAAACAAACAAACAAAAAAAACACCAAACACCAGGATAATATTTATTAGTCATGAGATACAACTCAAAGAGAGACCATGAAGCAATGCAACACTTTAAACAAGCTGGAGTTCAGAGATGTACGATGCACTTTGAAAACGACCATTTCCTCGGCAGAAAGAGAGCGTATAAACTTGTACTATATTTTATGCTCAGAACAGACTTTTATTGTCAAGGTAATAAACAAACAATGTACTTTAACTTAGTACAGTTTTAGAAACATTCACTGAGAACTCATTCTTCAGCATTCCATCCTTTTGAGCTCAATCGTGGCAATTTTCAATGAGGCTTGCCTATTTTAAGATGAAAATTCAACCCTTTGTAAGATAAAATGTGCAATCATGGCACTAAGAATGATTTTTGCAAGTGCCTACTTCTGGTTTCACCAGAAACTCACCACTTTCAGCAGGAGGGCTGTGTCTCTCCCACCACTGCTTGAAAGCTAGTTGTGTTCTGACATCATCTTCACCTGAGTCACCCCAGTTGCCGCCCACAAACACCTGGTGTTTCTCTGGCATCCTTCCCAACCCAGTCCCAACACGCCTCCGACCAGCTCAGTCCAGATCGATGGAGAACCTGATGTGAGGAGTGGCGGTAGCAAGCCACTTAACTCTTTGCCAATTAAATGCGTGGAAGCTGTTTGAAGTTAACTTGCCTTTAATGGATTTCTTTTAACCACAGAATTTTATGGTCCTCTTGGTTGATAATCATAACTAATATTAAACACCACAATATCCTGGGCTCCTAGAGATGTTTCCACCTGTTCTGAGGCATTGCCAAGTAGGGTAACTTAAAAAAAATTACATAAATATCATGCTATAAAAGTAGAGAGATGAACTCTGAAGGCCCAGGTAGGTCTACTTTTCATCAACTTAAAAGCATGAGCAGAGTTACAGAGCTTGTAGGACATGTTCAGATCCTCTTTGTCAAGTTACCTCAGACCTGAACAATTAGATTATATAGTATATATTTTACAAATGCGGAGAAGGGATTCCAAAGAGAGGAAGTGGTTTGCTTAAAACCAAATGTAACTCAGAGCCTGGAACACAATGAACTTTCAACAAGTATTTATCCAATGTTTCAGTTTTCTTTTTAGTTCTTTTCCTAACTTACTCAAGGTAGCAATTTCTGAGAACTGAGTCATGCATTTGTTTAGGGTAAGGGCTGAGGAGAGATCCTGGGTGATACAAATCATTACTATGTTCCAAAGCTAACTCAAAGCTTAGGTATTTTAGTTCATATAGACCTTGGATAGAAGGCCTGGTAATCTACTTCTAAAATATCAGCCACTGAAAAACTATGGACTATTTGTCTTTTTGTGACTGAGATTTTTCACTCAGCTTAATATCTTCCAGGCTTATCTATGTTGTGTAATGTTTTACAAGTTCATTGCCTTTTAATGCAGCTAAAGGCCTTGTTATAAAATAGGACTGACATGGGGGGCTGGGAGGAGAAAAGGAAAGGAGTGGGTAGACAGTGAGCACTGCATTGGAGCAGACGAAGGGGAGAACTGTCTGAAAGGAATATATGATTAAGCATTATTGTTGTTGTTGATTGCCTTCAAGTCGAGCACGGCTCATAGCGACTCTATGAACAAAAGGCCTGAAGCCTTTCTATAACTATGGACATTTATCAAAGTTCCTAGAGTTTCCAGAGGCACGCTGTTTAGGAAGTGGATGCTACGCCTGTTGACAATAAGCGGGAAAAAGAGATGCTTTGCAAAGTGGATTGGGGTAGGGGGAAGGGAATGAGAGAGAGGAAAATGTGTAACAGTGAATAAATGAAAACCCAACCTTCCTGTAAACTTTGTTAAAATCACAATTAAAAAAAATAAATTAGAAAAAGAAAACTGATGGAGCTGAATCATATTCCACACACAAGGTTGCTATGAATCAGAATTAACTTCTTGGCAACCAGTACAGCTAGAGACGTGGGTTGGCGAGAGGCAGTTCAGCGAGGGCCATGAATGAGTAAGGCGTGTCTGCCAACTTTTCCTCACTCACGCATGCACTGCTGTCAAGTTGGTCCCAACGCAAAGTGACCTTCCACGGGTTTTAACAGGGAGGAAGCTGTCTATCTTTCTCTGGTGTTGTGAAGCTATTGCTGGATTTGAACTACGAGGCATTAGCAGTCTTTGAGTCAGCTGTGTAATTTAGCATCGACTCCACCCTTTCCCCAACTGTGTTACCTGTTCGCTATGCACCATTGTCTGTGTTTCATTGACTATGCAAAGGCATTTGACTGTGTGAATCTCAACAAAGTATAGTTAACCTTGAGGAGAATGGGAATCTCAGAACACCTGATTGTGCTTAAGCAAAACCTATTCATGGACCAGGCGGCAGTCATCAGAGCAGAGTAAGGAAACACTGCATGGTTCAAAATCAGGATGGGTGTATGCCAGGGATGTATTCTATCTCCATACCTTTTGAATATATATGCAGAACAGATCATTCAGGAGGCTGGTCTGTATGAGGAGGAACGTGGCATCAGGGTTGGAAGAAGATTCATGAACAATGTGCGTAATGCAGGTGACACATCCCTGCTTGCTGAAACTGAGGAGGACCTGAAGCACTTGCTGCAGAAGGTCAAGGACTGCACCCTTCAATATGGATTGAAGCTCAGTATCAAGAAAATGAAGATTCTCACCATTGGGCCAATTGGCAGAATCATGATAGACAGTGAAGAGACTGGGAGTGTTAACAGTTTTCATTTGTTTGACTATACAATCAACGTTCTAGCCAAGAAACTGAAAGACTAATTGCACTGGGAAAGCCAGTGGTCAGGGATCTCTCCACAGAACTGAAGGGCAATGATGTCAATCTGGAGACTAAGATGTGCATGATCCAGGCCATAGTCTTCATAATTATTTGCTATGTGTCAAATAGTTGGACAATGACTAGGGAGGACAGAAGGAAAATTGATGCCTTTGAGCTGTGGTACTGGGAAAAAGTAGTGCATATATCATAGACTGCTAGGAGAACAAACAGGTTCACCCTAGAGAGGATAAAAGTAGGCTGCTCCTTGGAGGCAAGTATTCTGAAACTGTCTGACATACTTTGGGCATGTTGCAAGGAGTGAGCAGTCCTTAGAAAGGGACATCATGCTTGGGAGAGTGGAGGAACAACACATGAGAGGAAGACCCTCGATGAGATGAATTGATTCATTGACAGGGGTGATGGAGGTAGGTTTATCAGACAATAAGGTTGGCATAGGATAGAGCGGGGGTCAGAGTTGTTGTACTAGGGTCGCTTTGAGTGGCAGGCAACTTGACGGCACATAACAATAACATGTGGCCTTGAGTCAGCACCAACTCATATCTGACCACCCATATAACCCTCACAAATAACACAATTTTTCTTTAAATGGATTTACTTGTTGATTTTATCAATTATATAGCCTATCAGTTAAAGTTTTTAATGATGGTTTCAACACACAACGAATTAAGAAAATAAAATTATAGAAGATAGAAATTATATTTTTGTTAAATCAGAGGATTTCTTTCTAAATAAAGGGACCCAAGTCCATAAATTGCTTTTAGCCCTGATGCTTTAACAGAATAGAGGAGTGTGTGTGTGTGTGTGTGTGTGTGTGTGT